TCCTGCCAATTTGCTGAAAGTATTTATCAGCTGCAGGAGTTGTCTGGTGGAGTTTTTTGGGTCACTTATGCAAACTATCATATCATCTGCAAATAGTGAAAGTTTGACCTCTTCCTTTCCAATTTGTATCCCCGTGATCTCCTTTTGTTGTCGTATTGCTCTAGCTAGAACTTCAAGTACAATGTTGAACAGTTATGGAGATAGTGGACAGCCTTGTCTTGTTTCTGATCTTAGAGGAATTGCATTGAGTTTCTGTCCATTTAGTTTGATGTTGGCTTTTGTTTTGATGTATATAGCTTTTATTATGTTGAGGCAAGTTCCTGTTATCCCAGATCTCTCTATGTCCGTTATTATTAAGGGGCGTTGCATTTGGTCAAAGGCTTTTTCAGCATCCAGTGAGATGATAATGTGATTTTTGTTTCTCAGATTGTTTATATGGTGGATTATATTTATGGATTTTCGTATGTTGAACCAACCCTGAATGTCTGGGATGAAGCCTACTTGATCATGGTGGATGAGTTTTCTGATGCATTCTTGGATCCAATTTGCCAGTATTTTATTGAGTATTTTTGCATCAATGTTCATGAGGGAAATTGTTCTGAAGTTCTCTTACTTAGTTGTATCCTTGTGTGGCTTGGCTATCAAGGTTATTGAAGCCTCGTAGAAAGAGTTTGGCAAAGACTCTTCTGCTTCTATTGGTTGGAATACTTGGAGAAGAATTGGTATAAGCTGTTCTTTGAATTTCTGATAGAATTCTCCATTGAGGCTGTCTGGCCCTGGGATTTTTTTTGGTTGGGAGACTTTTGATGACTGATTCTATTTCCTTAGGTGTTATAGGTCTATTTAAATTGCTTGTCTGTTCTTGATTTAATTTTGGCAAATGATATCTATCCAGAAAATGGTCCATTTCCTTTAGATTTGCAAATTGTGTGGAGTACAGATTTTGAAAGTATGACCTGATGATTCTCTGTATTACCTCAGTGTCTGTTGTTATGTTCCCCTTTTCATTTCAGATTTTGTTAATTTGCATGTTCACACTGTGTCGTTTGGTAAGTTTGGATAAAGGTTTGTCTATCTTGTTGATTTTCTCAAAGAACCAACTCTTTGTTAAATTGAAATTTTGTATTGGTTTCCTAGTTTCTTCTTTATTGATTTCAGCCCTCAGTTTGATTATTTCCTGGCGTCTACTCCTCCTGGGTGAATTTGCTTCTTTATCAATAGAGCTTTCAGTTGTACTGTTAATTCTCTTGTGTAACTATCCTTCAGTTTCTTCATGTGGGCAATTAGTGCTGTGAACTTCCCTCATAGCACTGCTTTCAAAGTGTCCCATAAGTTTGGTTTTGTTGTGTAGTCATTCTCATTGAATTCTAGGAAGACTTTCTTTTTTTATTTCTTCCTTGACCCAGGAATGGTCCAAATGTGCATTATTCAACTTCCATGATTTTGTATGGTTTCTGCAATTTGTGATGTTGTTGAATTCTAATTTTAATGCAATGTGGTCTGATAAGGTGCATGGAGTTATTCCAATTTTTCGTTCCTGTTGAGATTTGATATGTTGATACGTTGAGAAGATTCCATGTGGCATTGAGAAGTTATATTCTTTTTTATTTGGATGGAATATTCTATAGATGTCTGTTAACCACTATTGGGTAATTACATGTATTAGTTCCTTTGCTTCTTTGTTAAGTTTCTGTCTGGCAGTCCTGTCTAGAGGTGACAGTGGGGTGTTGAAGTCTCCAACTATAAGTGTGTGGGGCTTTATATGTGATTTGAGTTTTAGTAATGTTTCTTCTATGAATGTGGGTCCCTTATATTTGGGGTATACATGTTCAAAATTGAGACTTCATCTTGGTGTATTTCTCCTGTGCCCTTCTGTAGCGTGCTGCAGGTGTCTTCACAGCTACTCTGCTACCATACTTCACAATGATCCGAGGCTAAGGGCTAAGGATGAAAATAAAGACAAAGACAGATGCTCATTCTTGCAAGGATAATGGCATTTATTTTTACAACGGTAGAGCCTTATATACCAAAGTCAGGTATGGTGGAAAAACACCAAGGTCAGAAGCCTAACTTTCCAGGGCCCTCCAGCAAAGGGTGGGCCAAAACCAGGAATTAGCTTTTAGACAATAAACAGGAACTTGCTTGCAGGCCTTACTTGGAGATGGGGATGAGAAATGTTTTGCTAAAAGCCCCTAGTAACAAACAGTCAACAGACCCCCATGGGGGAAGGGTGCAACACCCTCCTTCATCTCTTTTGATTGATTTTAGTTTGAAGTATAATTTGTTGGATATTAGGATTGCTACCCCCATTTATTCTTGGGTCCATTTGATTGGAAAATTTTTTCCCATCCCTTAACTCTGAGGTAATGTCTGTTTTGAGGCTGGGGTCTGCTACTTTATGCAGCAGAAGGATGGGTTCTGTCTTTGAATCCAGCCTGTTAGTCTGTGTCTCTTTATGGGTCAGTTAAGACCATTAATATTGATGGATATTAATGGCCATTGATTGCTCATTCTGGTTTGTTTTGGAATAGTTGATGGTGGTGGAATTGTATGTTGATTTCCACCTCTTTTCTTCTGGCTGTTGGTAATGTGGTATTGACTATGTTTTGTTCATTGTAGTTAACTCCGTTGGGTTGGGGTTTTCCTTCCAGAACTTTCTGTAGGGCTGGGTTAGTGGATATGTATTGTTTAAATCTGGTTTTGTCATGGAATATCTTGTTTTCTCTGTCTATAGTGATTGAAAGCTTTGCTGTGTATAGCAGACTGTGCTGGCATCCAGGGTCTCTTAGTGTTGGTAGAATATCTACCCAGGACCTTCTGGCTTTCAGAGTTTCCATGGAGAAGTCAGGTGTGATCCTTATAGCTTTGCCTTTGTATATTACTTGGGCTTTTTCCTTTGCTTCTCTTAGTATTCTTTCTTTATTCTTTATGTTTGGGGTTTTTACTATTATGTGGCAAGAGGATGTGCTCTATTTGGTGTTCTGTAGGATTCTTGTACTTTCATTGGTGTCTTTCTTTAATTGGGGAAAGTTTTCTTCTATGAAAACTTCTAGGAAAACTGAGCCCAAGAGACAAATATCCAAATGCTGCTTTCTAAGGAGCAGAAAGGCTAGAACCATAGCTGTGGACTCTCCAGTCCAGAGAAAACAGAAGGCAGAGGTGGCCATTACACAACTCATGGGGTCCACACCAAGAAGGGCTCTTACTGAAAGAAGACTGTCTCCTTGTTCAGCTCATTGAACTTTTGTGAGACCTCAGTTTTTTCCTTCTCAAAAACCTTTAGTTACCACAGGACCTGTTTGTGCTCCAAATTCAGTTTCTCATAGAATGGATTTGGCTTGTGGTAGGGTCTAGAAACAGAAGGAAAGAATCCATGACCACAGGCCTCAAGTGTCATGTGAACTCAAGTTGTATCCTGGTCTGCCACAGCCCAGTGTATGCCACATTCTGACTGCTAAGTACTGGTGCTTTTAAACTTGCTATCCTGTCCCTGGGACAGCAGTGGCTGGGTGTCCAGATGAAGGATGCCCTGGATGCAGGAAATCATAAAGAGGTTGTGGATCTAGCAACTATGTTACCAGGAGTCTATGACTCAGGGCTTGGCACACCAGATACTGCAATGAGATTTCTCCTGATTAAGAACAGTGATTCTATGACCCAGGTGACTATTGCCGATGAGTTACAGCACATAATTTTCAGGTTGAGACCAAACACTAGGACAGCTATATAAACTTCCCAAGGGTTTGCTAGGTGCCACCAGGGTGAGAAGTTAGGACACGAACGTTGATGCTTAAGTAGGGCTCCCACACCTCAGCATTATCATAGCCTGGAAACTGATACAGGAAAATCCTCAGGCCCCACCATCGTCCTGTTTCCCAGATTCCTTCAGTATACACAATCCTGCAAATGCATGTGTGAACACATGAGGGAGAGAGAGAAGGGGAAGGAGAGTGAGAGGGAGATGGGGAGGGGGATGAGGAAGAGAGAGGGGGAGGGTGCAGAGGGAACAGAAAGAGTAAGGGAAAGGGGAGCAGACAGGGGGAGGGAGAGAGAGAGAGAGGTAGAGAGATAGGAGAGAGGATGTGAGGAGACACAGAGAGGAGGAACAACCATAATCAGCTGCTAAAGTACTGTGTGGGGCACTGTTGTATTGTCTAAGGTGTCCAGAGCCCTGAAGCCTGCCTGTCTTTTCAAAAGCCAGGAGACATGGCAAAGTGCACACGCACTGAGGAGCTTAGAGGAACCCACATCTCCTGCCTGTTCATTCCAGGTCCATGGATAAGGACTGGAAAGTCACGCAGGGACACAACATGGTGAAACGATTCACCAAGTCACCCCACACCACTGAGGGCCCATACCATGGAAGCTGGCAAGAAGGAGACCATTGCTGCCCTGGAGGCATGCTCTGACAATTGTTTGACTACTTTAGAGTACTGACTATCACCCTCAACTGATGATTCAGTCGCCTAAGGGGGCTGCTGTCAGGTAGATGTGAATGGAGGAGTTCTCCTGTCTGAGGACATGAAGTCTTAGCCAGAAGTACTCTTCTCTTCATGTGACTGGTGTCAGACAGCCACTGCACCCAAAGGAAACTGCTGAGCATGAAGTGCAGTGATGCCTGCACAAATCTGGGGACACATTAGTGCCTACTGCCTCCAGGTGGTATCCCGTTGTCCCCACATTACACTACCGAGTGTGCTAAAGGTAAACGCTAGGTGATCCCACACAACACCCTTGTCCTTGCCCCGTCCTGCCATGGGGAACAGACAAAATCATGTTCTGGAATCATGGACTATCCGGAACTGTGCTTCCCAGAGGGCACAGCTTCTCTGTCCCATTACTGGAAGTCCCAGCTCAAGACCACCTCCCCCAGGAACCTCCCCATCTCCTACCCAGCACTCACTGTGCCTAACCCAGGACCACTTCCTTGTTCCTGCTTTATTATGAGAACTAACAGCAGCTTCTTTCTGCCTCTCTCTAGTCTCTGGATGTTCTCCATGTTCTCTCGCAAACAGAGACCTCAGTCTTGACAACATCTCTAATGATTATCCAGAGTCACTGAAGCAATGTCCTAAGTGCAGTTGGTGTTGCTACAACACTGGTGACATCATGGAATGCCAGGAGCTCTCTAGGATACAATAGAATGCCCAGGGAAGGGCCTGCTGATCTCATGGAGAACAGCCTTTGCCACCCTGCTAATTATCACTCCATGAATGATCCAAAATCCCAGGTTCCCTTTCCAGGACCCTGCCTTGGAATAAAGGGTAAGCCATCCAGCAGCTCCTCCTTCCAAATGCAGAGTTTCCTTAGCTTGCATGGAAGCCCCATAGTACTTCCCATGTGGAGAACTTAGTAGACACAGTGCACCATGGTGATCACTGTGAGCAAACCCCATTAGGACCCCTTGGTTATCACAAGGAGCAGATGCCCAAGAGCCCTTACGTCTCCACCTCATTAAGCTGAACACTGCTTGGGAATGACAATATGATACTTACTTGATTGGAGATGAGATCATCTGCATATTGACTCAGATCTGATAGCAGAATTTCAGCAACTCGCTTTTTCATGTTTTAAAACTAAACTATGGACACGGACTCAGTGTGGGGAACTGGTGCCCACTCCCTTCCATGTCCCTGTGTAAAGCCCTCTCTCAGCTTTGGTGAGTTGCACTGAAGGATGGTGGTGGTCAGTTTGAAATCACCTCATAGAGGCCTCTACAGGTACTGGGAGGGGGACAAAGTCCCCAGTCTGTGTCCTCCAGGCAGCAAGGTCATGGCTGAGACCCCTGCAGACCACACATAGGGATGGGAACCACTGCAAGAACCAGAGCGGCACCCACCATTCCAAACCCAGCAGGACTCACAGACCGAGGCCCACTGGAGCCTGCCTGACAGAGGGTGCTGTGTCTAGGATCACCCAGAGAGACTTTCCTCCCTTCCTATAGATGGAACAAAAATGATCCTGCCTGTCCATCCTTTGGCATCATAGCTCAGAGAGGGGTCTGAGATAAACTCCAGAGACCAGGTATCCTCATTCCCAGTCACAGTTGTCTCACCATTTACACACTCATTGAGCCACTCACTATTCTTTTCCCTGCCCCCGTTGTGCCAAGTTCAAGACCAGGAGCTGGAGACAAAGTGCTGACCAAACGTCTTCTCCAAAGAAAAACAGGGACCAGTGGAGAGGGGTTGTTATGGGGGATTCCTGGAGGAGGCAGCCAGGACCAACAAGAGAAGAGGCACCCTGCCAGTGGGGACAGGCAGAAGTAGTGGCTAAGCAGGACAGTGCACTCCAGGAAAAGTTGGAAAATGAGAGGCAGCCTCTTGTGGAGGCTGGAGTACAGACAGACATGTGGGACAATGACTGGGAGCACAGCCTATGGATATTGTCACAACTGCTGTTCCTTGTAGGGCTGGGGAGGATCATCATAAGAAACAGGAATGCCCCCACCTTGACTGGTATAGGACCTAGACGTCTCACTTCACTGGAATGGTTTGGCACTGCCAGGAGGGAGAACCTGGCCTCCAGCAGAACCCAGCTACCAGATAAGGGCCTGATGGCACAGGGAACATAGCTATTTTCCATACATGAAATATACCAGCAGAAGCAGTTTATGACCATAACACCCTGCCATTAAGGCACTCCAGGACTTGTGCTCTAAAGGAGCTAGTCTCTACTTGCTAATGAATCTAGCTCATCTAATTAAAAATGCTATGTTCTCAAGATGTCTACAGAAGTGCCTGGAATCATTTGTGAGCTCAATTTCATAGCACTGAAACATTTGTGAACATTTGTTTCTATCACTGGCATTTAATTTATCTATTTTGGGACGGTCAGACTATAGGATTATGTGGAGTGTGTGGAAGTTGGAGGACAGCTTACAGGAGTTGGTTCCACTGTGTGATTCCTCTGGATACAGTTCAAGTCACCAGGTGTGTATCATTATATCACGAACCATCTCACTGGCAGCCACAGTCACTTTCTGATGAAATTTATTGTGGGCTTTTGAGTTTCAAGTGCAGTCTGAAGCTTTGCTACTTACTCATGCGTAATCCCAGCACTTGGGAGGCTAAGGCAGGAGGATGCCTATGAGTTTCAAGCCAACCTGGTCTACTTAGTGAGTTCTCAAGCCTATGTGGTGAGACAATGCCTCAAAGCAAAACAGAGAAGATTGGGTGTGGTGACAAGACCTTTAGTCTCGGGACATAGGAAATGAAGGCAGGAGGCTGAGAAGTTCAATGTCATCCCTGGCTACGTGCTAAACAGCAAGTTTGAGGCCAGCCTGGGCTACATGAGAAGTCTAGAATAATAAGAAAAGGAATAATGAAGAAAAGAGAAGAAACGTTTTCCCCATGGCAGTCTCAATGGGTGTTTCAATCACACTTTAAGGCAGACCCATTCTGGGGAGAAACTGGACAACACAAAATTATCTCAGCGGTATCTTTTTGGACTTTTTGTTTCATATTGCATTATTTTTCCTTTTTGGGGGTGGGTTCTTCTTTGTGTTTTGATTGTTTGATTTCCAGTTTTGAGTTTCTTACTTTTATTTTTGACCCTTTTGCTCATCACCCTTCCCTCTCTGTCATGGGGTTCCAGAAGTTAAGTTCAGTGTTTAGCTGTGGGTATCTGCCTCTGCTTCCATCAGTCAATAGATGAAGGTTCATGTTTGTCTTTTTGTGACTGGATTACCTCACTCAGGATGGTTTCTTCTAGTGCCATCCATTTGCCTGAAAATTTTAAGATCCCAGTGTGTTTTTTTCCATTGAGTAGTACTCCATTGTGTAAATGTGCCACATTTTTTCTATCCACTCTTCAGTTGAGGGGCATCTAGGTGGCTTCCAATGTCTAGCTGTTACAAAGAATGTTGCTGTGAATATAGTGGAACAGACATCCTTGTTGTATGAATGTGCATCTTTTGGGTATAGGCCTAAGAGAGGAATTACTGGGTCTTGTGGTAGACTGTGCCCCCTTTTCCTAAGGAATTTCCATACTGATTTCCAAAGTGGCTGTTCAAGTTGGCACTCCTACCAGCAGTGGAGGAGTGTTCCCCTTTTTCCACATCTTCTCCAGCATAAGCTGTCATTGGTGTTTTTTATTTTAGCCATTCTAACAGGAGTAAGATGATATCTCAGAGTTGTTTTGATTTGCATTTCCCTAATGGCTAAGCATGTTGAGCACTTTCTTAAGTGTAACTCAGCCATTTTAGACTCCTCTATTGAGAATTCTCTATTTAGTTCTGTACCCTGCTTTTTAATTGGATCTTTTTGTGTTTTAGAGAATTGCTTCTTGAGTTCTTTGTAAATTTTAGAGATCAGCCCTCTGTCAGATGTGGGGTTAGTGAATATCTTTTCCCAATCTGTGGGTTGCCTTTTTGTCTTGCTGACTGTGTCCTTTGCCTTACAGAAGTTTCTCAGTTTGAACCAAGATAGTCAAAACATCCTGCTCAACAAAGCAATGTCCAGAGGCATCATTATCCCTTACTTCAAGCTCTATTATAGAGCTATAGTCCTGAAAACAGTTGGTATTGGCATTCAAATAGACAGGTAGAACAACGGAATCTAATTGAACACCCTGATATTAACCCATACATGTACGAACACCTAAAGTTCTACAAAGAAGCTGAGATTATACAATGGAAAAAAGAAAGCATCTTCAACGAATGGTGCTGGCATAACTGGATGCTGACCTGTAGAAGACTGCAGATAGATCCATGTTTATTGCCATGCACAAAGATTAAGTAGAAATGGATCAAAAACCTCAACATAAATCCAGCCACACTGAACATCTTAGAAGAAAAAATGGGAGGTACCCTTGAACAAATTGGTACAGAAGAGCACTTCCTGAACATAACACCAGTAGTACAGACACTGAGCTCAACAATTGATAAATGGGACCTCCTGAAATGGTGTTCTTAGCCACTGTTGCTGGGCTTATGTTTTCTTTTTCCCTTTCTTTATTTCATTCTTTCTTTCTTTTTTGTTACTAGCATCATGAACTCATCTGTGACCTAAATATGTATTTGGCAATTTTCGTCCAACCCACACCACACCCACTCTTTTTTGAATATTTTATTAATCTGTACCTAAATTTCATGAAGAATAAGAAATAAACTTAAAATGTCAAAAAGGAAAGCACTCCTGGAAGAGTTCCAGGCTGTGTTCTCTGCAGGGCAACTAACTATGCCTGTGTCAGTGTCACCTTGTCATTTTGCCCCTGCATCCCCTCTCTGAATGCCTCCTGAGTGTCCCCCTTTACTCATCTTCCAGAAGGGAGAGTCACCTGAAGATTGACAGGTATGACCACTGAAGCTGCCTATTCTCAGCAAGTCAAACAGGGAGTCCTGGGCCTGGGGGTCACATCAAACACAAGGGATCCAGATAGCAAGGCTGCAGCTGGAAGCCAAAGGGTGGCCTGGTCAGTACAGGGCCATAGGTGAGGGCCACATATTGGTCATGATGCAGTCAGCCATGCCCTGTTTGGGTTTTGTTCGTAGAGGAAGCTCTGGCCACAGTCGAGGCTGGAGTAGGTGGTGCTGGCTGTTCTTGTTTTCTCCTTGAGTGAGCAGTCCAGGAAATCTCGTACCTCCAGGAGTCAGCAGGTTCTCTGCTCTCCCAGGAATCCAGAGAAGAACAGCTGCCCTGGAAGCCTCTCAAAAGAGGTGCAGGTAGTGGGCCCTGAGGCCATGAAGGCCTCTGAGGTGGAGTAGTAGCTAGAGCTCTGTGGCTGCCTGAGGGTAGTGCAGCTCTGTGGCAGCAACGTCTTCTCCAGACCAACACTCCTTACCCCAACCAGGCATCTGGGGTTGGCCAGACAGGAAATCTCAGAATTTACTGGTGGAACAGCTTTGGCCATGGTTGGGGGGGGTGCAAGCTAAGGCAGACTGGGTCACTTGAGCAAACTCTGGAAGATCATGGAGTGTGATACCCCCTAACCCCCATGGGATTGTGGTCTCTCTGTAGGGGTTGATAATCAAATGGCAGCAAGAGCCTGAGGGACAGAAGCCAATGGTGGAACTCTTAGTGCAGCTCCAACCTCTACTTGGGATGATAAAGAAATCCAGTCAGTGTTACAAGAAGCTTTCCTTGCTAGCCGCTTTGGTTTACCACCCGCCAGTCGCCTGGGCTCTGCCGAGTTGTAGTCCCCAAATAAAACACAAGATGCTGTATTAATTATGAAGCTGTTGGCCTTGCTTGTTTCTTACTTGCTAGCTCTGACTTAAGTAATTACCCCATAATTGTTAATCTAAGTATTTCTCTTACTGGAGAATAGTTCCTGGCTTCCTACCCCATGGCGGTTACATCTCGAACTCCTGTGTTTCTTCTTCCCTGAGTCCTCCTGGACTCCTAGTCCCTCCTATCTAGGTTTCCTATTGGCTCAACAGTACTTTATTGACAAATGCACAGGACTTCCCCCCAACATCTCCTCTTTTCTGTTTAAACAAAAAGAAAGGTCTTATTAACTTTAACATAGTCAAATTGTATATAACAGAACAGTTATCAAATAAGAACATAGTTACAATATTTTAGCAAGATTTAAAGAAAATATCATCCATCCCATCCTTGTGAGTCCAAAGTTCTATATGTAGCTTATCTTTTATCATAACTAAGGAAAACTATAATTATAACTATCTATCTTCAACTCCATCAAAGACCACAGAAGGATAATATATAAACACTAGGATTGACAGAGACATCTTACTGCCTGGACAGTCACCCGAAGTTCCTCTGTAACATTGGGGCATCCATCTTCAGCCCATAGGCCACAATGTGTCCAGAAGATTTCTCAGCAAAGCAGAAAATTTCAAAATTGTCCATCTGCATTGGCAGTCTGTCAGTCATTTCTCTGTCCTGTAGAAAGTCTGGTAGACACTTCCATGAAGCAGGAACCCTGTAAGACTGATTTCAGCAGTCACTTTCCTGTGGGTCCTGCATGTCCAGTTTATACAGCAACAGTCAAGCAGTACAGGCAAGAGCATTTCTTGCCCAAATGGCTAATCTTGCCATGTTGAAAGCAAACTCCATAGCAAGTTTCTTCCTCTCAGACATAATTGGTGCTGCCAGGAGCAGACATTTCTCATTGTCAAGAAAAACCCTAAACCATTTTAAATGCCATTTTCTGAAGGTCTTTGAGAGGTTTGAAGACTGTTTATCTATCTCAAATATATTTTTGTATATCTAGAAAACCTAACTTACCTAACTATAAATTCTGAGTATTATAAGTAACTATCTATAGTCTGTATTCAATTATGCATTACATTTCAAAAGATCAGTATAAGCACAATACTTAATCAAGAGGAGAAATATACACATCACAAAATTGACCTTGAATTTGTATCAATAAATGAAAAACCATACCCATACCATAATTCCCCTTTTTACCATTAAAAGGAGATTGGCTGTGATCATTGACCAATTATAAACAATCCCATATAAATGAAAACAAAGATTTATAAACAAGATGTGAATTAGGACATCGCTCATTCCAAACTGCTTCGTGCTGGAAGGGGGCGCCGCTCATACCATGGGGATCATGACGAAACTCAGAAACCTATATAAGTCCTTATTTTCGTGGTCTGTAAAGCTCCATCATCTTAGCTGTTTCAGTTGTTGGAACACCTG